AACAGTGCAACGCTCCGGAAATCGATGCTAGCCCCGGTACATGGACGCACACCGCCGAATTAATGTGCTTAGTGTGGCCGCATACATTCGACTTTATACAATCGGTTTCAAAAATTCGAATTCTGTAAATTCAGATTAATCCCATAGTGTAGACATACCCTGAGTGACAAAAGTTCTGCCAATGTAAGTGCTAGTGTAGATATGGCCTTAGGGAAAGAAGAGTTCAGTCAAGTTGGCAGTTTTTTAAAGAGACATTTATTAAGGCAAACTATCCCAATGTGTAGGAAACATAGGATGTATGGTAAGAGACACCCTGGCTTAACCAGGAGATCTTCAACAACCTGAAACTCCAAAAAGTCATAACAAAAAATGGAAACTAGGTCAAATTACAAAGGATGAATATTAAGAAACAACACAGGCATGTAGGGCTAAAATTAGAAAGGCCAAGACACAAAATGAGATTAAATTAGCTAGGAACATAAAGGGCAACAAGAAAACATTTTACAAATACATTAGAAGCAAGGGGAAGATAAAGGATAGGATAGCCCCTTTACTCAATGAAGAGAGGAAGACAATAACAGAAATGGCCCAAGTGTTAAATGCCTTTTTTGTTTCAATTTTCACCAGAAAGGTTAGCAGTGATCAGACAACTAACATAGTGAACACCAGTATAAATGGGATAGAATCAGAGGCTAAAATAGGGAAAGAATAAGGTAAGAATTACTTAGACAAGTTAAGTATCAGGGGGTAGCCGTGTTAGTCTGTATCTACAAAAACAACAAGGAGTCTGGTGGCACCTTAAAGACTAACAGATTTATTTGGGCATAAGCTTTCGTGAGTAAAAACCTCACTTCTTCGGATGCATAGAGTGAAAGTAGATACCTTCAACCAGTCTTTAAATTTTCTAGTATGTATTTCAGTAGGCCCTGCTGACTTGAAGACATCTCTGAGCCATTAGTGATTATCTTTGAGAATTTGTGGAGGACAGAAGATATCCCAGAGGACTTGAAAAGGGGAAATATAGTTCCTATCTATAAAATGGATTATAAGGACAACCCAGGAAATTATAGAAATGATTTGCTTTAAAGTGCTTATAACCTGACAGCAGCCCTGATAATACGTTGATTGGTTCAGTTCAGTTCCAAGTGGGCAGATGTCACCACCCAAACTGGGATACATACTGGGAGCCTTGTATTGAACAGACATGGACCAAGATGCTCATATCAATGGGAATTAGGTGCCTAAATACTTTTGAAGAGCTGAGCTATGAAGCCAAACTACCCTTTCATCTCAAAACATGGTTGAGGCACATTGGTGGGGATGGCTTTTAATATTGTATTGCTTTGCTATCCTTCCAGTCTCATGGTTGGTTCTCCTGTTCCATGGATAACAAAAGACAGAGCAGTGACCTGGGATTAAATTTATTTCAGTGGAGAATCCTGCTTAACAATGAATGCCATAGCATGGCCCATAAAAATTAAATTATGACCATTTATATGAGGTCTGTTACATCATGTCATATTTTGATGTGTAATTATAGAAAAAAATCCCAAGTATTCCAATGTTATTTATCTTACGATGGGAGCTCATATGACACTGCAGCAGCTCAACAATGCTGTGTTTCCACTAAACCAAAACAATAAAAGCCAATAAAAGTGCATTCCTAATTGGTCAGTTAGTTAAATATACATGAATCTTAGTATTATTGAAAGAAGCCCTAATCCTGACAACGCTTAGACACATGACTGCCCAGTGATGGAGCCAAGTTTTGCAACGGGGGGGAGAAGGATCATTGGATGTGGATTTCAGAGCAAGTCCACCCAGCACTCATGTGCCCAGGGGCTGGACCTGGCTCCCCTCTTGGGTATTGTGACATGATGCCCGGGGTTACAGCACCATTCAGGTTTGGCCCTGCCACCCCCTCTGTCATATGGAGAGTTGAGCAGGCCAACTTTGAATTAATGGCATGTGACTTAGCACACGGGGTCACAGCACCATGCAATCCCATGCACCATGTCCTCCAGGTCAGGAGCCACTGCTGCCATGTGAGTGTAGGTCAGGCTCACTTTCCAGCCCTGGGTGAAAATTTGCATCGTAAACCTCCTTTTGTCAGTGGCATATGTTGAAAAGGTTCCACACGTACACCTAAAGGCAACCCTGTATTAGCTCTGCCTCTGAGACTGTAATTATGCTTTAAAATAATCACTGATTATTTCTTATTTCAATATTAAGAAATAATTGCATGTTAATGTGATATTATAGTTAAGATTTTACATGGAGGTGAAAAAAATTCAGACTTATTCCAATGATAGTACTCTGCTTTATTATAAATATAATCCATATTACATATATGGATGTTTTAACTGTGTGAATGGAAAATATTACCTATACACAATAACAAACCTCTAGACAGTCAAGCTATTTCAGCAGGTTAAGAAAGATTCAGCTGATTGTACGCTGATATAACCAGTGCATTTTGTTAATGTATTCTCATATGTTATCATACATTCAAATAAATACACATTGTGATCACTGAAATTAATGCGAGTACATTTATTTTAATGTGTGGCTGTCTAGATATATGTATATATTTAGATAGCTTAACAGAATGGGGTACTGAATACATGCAGTCTCCTATTTTCCATCTGTTTATAGCGACTTTATTCCTTAACCATTTTTTATACCCTTAGCAAGACACACCTTCCCCTTTGGAGACCACATTTATAACGAGTTTTATCTTTTAAAATGAAAGTTTGTGTCAACTGAGCTCAAAAAAAATCTTCATGCGAAATCTCTTCTCCTTTTCTCCGTGCACGTGCACTCTGATTTTTTTCCATACCCTGCTCATTCAAAAACAGTCAAACATAATTTGAGAAAACTTGCCAAAAATAACCACCTTTGGGCCAGTAACAAACAAAAGAAATTCCAGCTTGTAATTGGGGGGGGGGGTGTAAAAGCACCTCGAAGGGAGAATGAAAGGCTTTTCTTAAGCATAATTTTAGCCTCGTTGTTGCGCGACACTATAATGAAGGTTATGCAAGTTAGGTCTCTCATCTTCAGACTTATTCAAACTCAGGTCTGCCAATTTGAGGCGGCGGGGGGGGGGGCATCATTGGTCACCAGAGCTCCCCGTGGGGGTGGGAGGAATGAAGTCTAGTCACAGACAATTAAGAGGGACATGTCCCACGTTACGCCTATTATCCCAGTCTGTTGCTCTTCTAGCTCCGTGAGTTTACACTGTTCTTTTTGGACAAGTAATACAAGATTTGTGTCTTCTACGGACCTTTCAGTCTAGTTTAGACATAATACATCAAGTGGTGACTAAAGAAGGTAAGAGTGGGTTTATGACAAGGATCAGCGGTACTGCAGTAAACAATGAAGAGGCATGAATTTGGTTATGAACATAACTCTTGCATGATTCACTGGACTGAAATGGTCAGAGAAACTTAAAAAGTTGCCAAAGACATCTTTTACCTCTGACCAACCTCGTCATCCATCTGCTTCCTCATGCCATCAGTCAAAATCCTACCATCCGTATCACTATTCTATTACTCACATTATCCACAAGCCTCTCTCCTCTAGCATTCAAAAAATAACATAAGCAAAATTTTCAACCAGTAATTAAAAGCCCTGTTTAAAATATGCAATGTCATCAAGTATGCATAGCATAATTTTGCAGAATCTGCTACAGTGTAAATCATTGTCTTGTATTTGATGCGGTATTAACGTGAAATATTAGTGAATACAGGAAATATTACCAATAAAAGAATTTGTACATAGTCTTCTATATTTCATTCTACTTCTGCTGTATTATCTATATCTGAGGAAATTTTGGTCTGTCATTTTGATAAAGCGAAAGGAGAGCGACTGCATTTATTATTATTTTTATACAGGAGAATTAAAATAAAACCCCTCTTGCCATACCTGGAATATTAACACAAATCAAATTTAATGTAAAATTCATGCAATTAGTTGGTGGTCTAACAAATTCAGGCAAGGGGTTTTCCTTCAGATGAACTGAAAAACACAGCAAGTACATTATCATAAACACACACTAGGGCAAAAACTGTATACTTGCTATTTTTAGGTTAATACAAATATTTAATGTCAATTAGCCTATGCTTGATATATATATATATATATATACACACACACACACACACACACTAGTAATATTACTAAAAAGATTGTTTTACCTACCTACA